GTCGCAAAGTCTCCCCAAGAAGCGGTCAACTCTGACAACCGATGAGTGGCGTCAAATTGATGCACCACATCTTTAGTAGAGAGAGGAGCGGAGGGGAAAGACGGCCGATGCGAAGAAGGTAAGAGCAGGGACACATCATGGGAAGTCCCGGCTACCTCCCTAGATGAATCCACCACCATGGTCACGGTCACCTCCGAGGCAACCAAGCCAGCAGCAGCATCATCACCAGGAAACCTTGTCTCCCCCACAACCACTACGCCGACCATGCGCTCCGAGTCCTGAGGCTCGGTACTTGATGGCACACCAGAAGACTGGCAAGAAGTCAACGGAGGGTCGAGAGAAGACGAAGGCCTGAAAGTTGATAAAGAAACTCGCCAATAAGAACAAAAGAAAAGGAAAACAGAAGCAAAGAGATAAAACTAGAAGTCACTCACCCGGCTATCTTCTTCTTCGTAAAACACAAAGAAGACCTCGCAGGGGGAACGACGGCAGAAAAAACATCACCGCCACCCTGCGACAGGAGCAGCGCGGCTGGTACCAGAGCCCCAAAGGAACCCAGTACCGGAGCCCCGGAAGAACTTGGTGCTGGAGCCCCAGAGGAACTCGAGCCCAATGATCGCTTGCTACAAAAGAGCCAAGACGAAGTCAGAACAAGAAAAAGCTCTCAACAAAACAAAGACAAGTAAACAACTCACCGACGCGTAATGAGGGGCACATCATCGTCCTCATCTTCCTTAGTCTCCAGCAAGACAACTACAGCGCCATCTGAAAACAGAGAGAAAAGAACTCGATCAACGGCACAAATAAATAACAGAAAGACCAAACATATTAATATGCTCACCTAGGAGCACGCTACCTATAACTAGAGTACCTGGATGAGTACTCGACTGGCAAGACTTCTTGGAAACAGGAAAACCAGATGAAGAGCCATCCGCCCGCCCCCTCTTCGAGACGCTGCGAGGACCTCGGGGGACTGGACGAGGAACATATTCTTCATATACATCAACAACTCCAGAAGAAACTCCAGGAAACGATGTGGTGATTTGGAACTTACTAATTACAGAAGCCCCAGCAAGATCCTCCCCAGTATTCACCATGGCAGGGAGGACATCAAGGGGGATTGGGTCAACAAAGTTGCGCCCCAATTCCTACAAAGAAGAGTAAAACAACCAGATGAGAAAGATTAAACAAAGGTGGAGACAACAAAGGAAAATTCAAAAAGTACTTAAATAAAGAAAAAGAACTCACAGCAGGAGGAGGGTTCTTAGCGCAATACTTAACAACAGCGTGAGGAACAACATTCACTCCTTTCAGCATCTTCCGAAGGCGCTCGAGCACCTCCTCGTCGGTCAACTCAAGGGCAGGGACCATACGAGAAGAATCCTCTGCCCCAGAGTACTCAAAACCAAAGTTTTCTCGCTCCTTAAGAGGTTGGACTCGACGGCGAAGAAAACTGGAAATAATACCAAGGCCGGTCAAACCTTACTGTTTTAGAGTACTTATCCTCTCAACAAGCGGCTTGATCGCCTGGTTCTCATCTTCCGTCAGGAGTTTCTTTTCCCATCGATCGTTAACCGTGGGACCAGAAGAAGAATGAACGGAAAGGGGAGGAATCATGTTGGTGGAGTAAAACCACTCGGAACGCCAATCCCTCACAGAGTCAACTAAGTCATAATCAAAGAATTTAATTTTGAGACCCTGACGGAACTAAATCCCACACCCACCAAGAACAGAAGTGTCATCACGGCGGGGTTGTGGTTTCAGACGAAAGAAGAAACGGAAGAGAGAAAGAGAAGGAGGAATTTCAAGAAAGGTTTCGCAAAGATGAACAAAGACAGAAAGATGAAGGACATCATTGGGGTAAGATGGTTCAAAGTAACCCCAAAATAATTAAGGAATCAATGGATGAAGGCAGAAGTGGGAAGGCAGAGTCCAGCACGGACAAAGGAGACAAAGAGGACGATCTCACCAGGACCTAGAGCAGGGACCCGATACTCGCCTGGAGCTCTCCATTCAAAATGTCCTCCTTGCTCGATCAAGCCGTCACGCCGATAAGCTCACGGTTGGTCTTAGGTTGATGTCGGAGCCGGCCAAACCTTCTGGGCAGCCCTCATGGCCACGAACTCTTGGTTCTCGATCAAAGAAAGGGATGACTCCTCGTCCACGAAGGTTGCCTGGGACAATGGCGGCGGTGGATTTCTGAAAGCTAGGGTTTCAAGGCAAGAGCTGGGCAGTAAAGAAAAGGAAGATAAAAGGTCTTTAAATAGATTTTACAAATGATAAAACGGCCCACCAGACTGTTAAAACACGGTGTGGGAACGCAACGGTCCATTTATCGACACGTACTAAAAATGACCGACGGCACAAATCCACACAACGGTACAGTTTAACGGGAAGATTTCAGACTTATCCATCCAGCACCACGGCAGAGTTATCAGATTACTACAACAACAACCCGTCAACCATGAAGAAACGAAGGGCTACCTCACAAAGAACAAAAGAACCTGGTTATTACAGAAAGAACTCAAGAGTGTCATGAACAACCAGGATTACAACAGAAAAATGAATGACAACTCAGAAGACAAGATTCTTTCCATTACAAGTGACTTCAAAAAATAGAAGATTACACATCTTACAAGACCCAACGAACTCGGTACTACGGCAATCAAGGTAGCAAAGAGGAACCCGGACACAGCTAGGCTCTGGAACGACTACGTGTCCCAAATTGCTACCCGGTAGAACAAACCGCACTCAGCTACACTATTTTCTTCAAAGGACGGACGCAGTGCATCTAAGGCAGAAATCAGCAGCACGGCGGGACAACATAGACCAGGGGAAGTCGGCAGGCATCTGTCTACCCAAGGCCGACGTGATGCAGGATCAGGTGTTGATCTGCACCGGACAGTCGCAGGGCGGGCAAGGAAGATCAACCCAGAACTGCTGGATGAAGGAACGCATCCCACATCACAAGACTTCCTCCAACTACCACCACGTACTTTCAAGTACAATGCTGCTGCGGGATTAGTCTACCTCTAATCCCTATCACAAGACTTCCTCTAGCTACGACAAAGATGCACATGAAATATAAAATACGCCCAGGGGCTGCTCTACTTCATAAACTACCATATTCATGACCACGAAGGCTTCAACAAAATGTTCAATGGATGAAAACAAGCACTCCGGAAGGATATTTATAGATCGAAGGAGCGGCGCACATGGACTAGGAGTACCAACGAAACAAGCCTAGCAAATGACACAGTGAAAAGACAGGACTCAATAATGGAAGACTCAGGCGAGAAGGAACAGAACTCGAAGACAAGCATATTCGGAAGAATATGTCAACACTGTACAACCTGTGAACAGGCAACATTTACTTTCAACCACCACCATACAACTGCACCTGACAAACGGCAGACTACCAGAGAATACGCCAAGACAATGCATCCGAGTTCTTTTTTCAAAGAACCCGGATAAATGCTCAGAGGCTGCAACAGGGGAAGATTTTAGTTCCTCGAACAAATCAGACTCAAGACCCTCCAACTCTTTGTTCTAAACAGCAAGAGGCTCAGGGGCTACACTCAGTAAATGCACTTTTTCTTCAAAAAAACGCACGTCACCAAAAAGACTTTTTCAAGACAAAACTACTTCAAGGACTCATGATAAAAAGAAGTCGGACCGATTTATATCCGAGTTCTTTTTGACAAAAAACCCGGGTACATGCTTGGGAACATTTCAACGAAGGATCAGAGCGATTTCAAGACAAGACTCTCCAGCTCCTTATACCAAATAGCAAGAGGCTCGGGGGCTACACCCAAAGGAGAGTACTTTTTTCTTCAAAAAGGTACACACCACGCAAAGATCTCACAGAGCGCTACACGGTTTCGCTCAAGAAAGCACTCGGACGACGCTTGTTCCTGCTCGGCAAGACCTGAAAGAACAAGACGAGGCTTCCAGAGCACAACCATGAAGTGCTCGGGGGTTTGTCGGTGCGGGACCCACAGGATACCCCGCAAGAAAGAGAGAAGATCTAGTCTAAGTGGGTTTCTCCTCATGTAATCTTAGTAGTAGTATTATTTTGTAATTCTACTAGAAACTCTCATGGTAAACCGATTAGGATTCTAACATCCTGACTATATAAAGGAGGGCAGGCGTTCCTAGAGATCACGACTTCTACAACACAACAACACACAATCAATCCAATGCAAAGGCTAACGCCGACTGGACGTAGGGCTATTACTCGACTACAGTCGAGGGCCTAAACCAAGATAAATCGACTCTCTTTTGCGTTCACCGTCGAGTTCCGCATAAGACGAAGCCCGAACATACTGTCCCGGATAACCCCGTAGCAGGCTATCGGTAGTAAAACATCGACAGGATCCAAAGCTAGCAGGAGATCCACCTCACCTCAGGAAAATAGGAACCATGATTCATGAGTATCCGCAAAGCAAAGCAAGCAAATGCATCTGTTATTCTGATGTGCAGATGCCTAGCTTTACACTTTTCTACTAGTGCAATCGAAGGTCAAACTGAACTTTTCTTGAAAGTTACAGTATTGAGCATCAGATTGCAGTGTATCCTTCAGACTTGGATGTTGTTTCTTGAATCCAAGCGTTCGACGGCAGGACGCGGCAGACCTGCAGCCAAGCTATTGAAATGGCTAGCTCTGAATGCCGTGCAGCGCCAGCGTCCACCTTGGCTCGGCCTCGATCCTACACTCTAGCTACAACGGTCTTGCTCCGCTTCTCTTCTCCTTGCAATGCATGATATGACGTGGTTCATCTTCTCCGTCTCTTCTTCCTCTTCCCTACTCTTCTCTTCAGAGTTGAGAGTGATAGACACGGAGAGAGACGGATCAGTGGTCTCTTCATCTGTTATATCCCACCAGTGACTCGCTTGGTGAGTCATCAACAGGTGATCTGTCTAGCTGCATGAGCAGTGTTTGATATGGTGTCTCAATTTGAGTAGCTGTGTGCGCCCAAGGAATGCAGAGAACGGGATCAATGGGTGCGCGGTGCAGCGGCGGCTGCGACGGGCGTGAGGACGGCGCCGTGGAGGCGCTGGTGCAGTGGCAGAAGGTGAGCGACTTCCTGATCGGGGCGTCCTACATGTCCATCCCGCTGGAGCTGCTGCACTTCGCCACCTGCGCCGACCTCAAGCCGCTCCGGTGGGTGCTCCTCCAGTTCGGCGCCTTCATCGTGCTCTGCGGCCTCGTCCACCTCGTCGCCGTCTTCACCTACGCCCGCCCGGACTCGCGCCGACTCCTCGTTGCCAACACCGCCGCCAAGGTGCTGGCCGCCGTCGCCGCCGTCTCCCTCCCCACCTTCATCCCTCAGCTGCTCCGCCTCAAGACCCGCGAGGCGCTCCTCCGGGACAAGGCGCGCCAGCTGGACCGCGACGTCGACCTCGTCAGGCGCCGCGAGGAGATCGCCGCGCGCGTCGTCCGCGCCATCACGCAGCACATCCGCCGCGACGGTGGAGGCGGAGCCGGAGGTGCTCTCCAGCCAGACACGCACGCCGTCCTGCGCACCGCCGTGTTCCACCTCTCCGACGCCCTCAGCCTCAGCAGCTGCGCTGTCTGGATGCCCGCGGCGTCCAGTGATGATGGCCAAAGCTTGCTCCACCTCGTACATCAGCTGCCTGAAGATGAGCACCAAGCCCCGACGATAACGACGAGGAAGGCCATTCGCATCACTGACCCGGACGTGGCCGCCGTCATGGCCAGCAAGGACGCCAAGGTGCTGAGGCCGGGCTCGGCGCTCGGGACGACGTCTGGTCATGGACGTGCGGCTGCCATACGGATGCCTATGCTGACGGTGTCCAACTTCGTCGACGCATCATCCTCAGGATCAGATGGGCAGGGAGCTGCTGTGAGCTACGCGATCATGGTCTTGGTTCTTCGGTTCTTCCGACTACTAAGAATCACAGGGCTAGAGGAGGAGGAGGAGGAGCACGAGAGTGGAACAGGCAGGAGCTGGAGATCGTGGAGGTTGCGACGGACCCGTTAGCCGTGGCGCTGTCGCACGCGGCGGTGCAGGAGGAGTGGCAGCTGACTCGGCACAAGCTGGCCGAGTGGCAGAGGGTCCTGGCGCAGGCCCGGCACGACGCCGCGGTGGCCACCGGGGCCAGGGACGCCGCGCAGAGCGCCATGCGCGACGGCGTGCTGAGGCCGATGCACTCCGTCGCGGGGCTGCTCTCGCTGATGCAGGCGCAGCAGCAGCAGGACGGGGCCTTCCGTTGCGCCGAGCAGAGGGTCGCCGTGGATGCCATGGCCAGGATCAGCGCCCTCTCCTCCACGCTGATTGACGACGTCATGGCGGCGCTGCTGACGCCGGCGACTGTCCGTGGTGAGCCAGAGTCGGCGGGTGCCAGCGTGAGCTTGGCGCGGAGGCCGTTCGATCCCCGCGCGATGGTCAAGGACGCGGCCGGCGTGGCGGGGTGCCTCGCCCGTTGCAGGGGGCTCGGCTTCTTGCATCGGGCGGAGATGAGCTCTCTGCCCGCGAAATGCTGTGTGGTCGGCGACGACAGGCGCGTGTTCCACCTCCTGCTGCACATGCTTGGCGTTCTGTTGGACCAGTGCGAATGCCATTGCCATGACCTCTGCTTTGCCGTGGACACTGTTCCGGTGGATGACCAGGAGACCATGTCAGGCTCAGGCCTCCCTGATTGGATCACCCCCAACTTCTCTGGCTGCAAACTGGGTATGTGTCAGGTTCCGATTTGGGATCACAAAACACTTCCGAGACAGCTTACTGCTTTCGTGCAGCCCACGGCCTCAAGAAAGAATCAGAAGAAGGACCAGCACCAGCGTCAGCGTCAGTTCAGTTTCAGTCAGCTCCGAGACGCGGCTAAGCATCGCTACGTGCAACAAGATCGTGCAGGTGAGCTCTGTTCCTATGTACAGTACTTCGAAACAATGCGTGTTCCATGTATTTAGATACAACATATCAAGAACCTAAATTGGCTGACCGTTCTCTCGTCAGATGATGAACGGTAAGATGTGGGACGAATCCACGTCAGAGTCCAGAGGCCAGCATGGAGAGCACATGAGCCTCATCCTGCACTTCCACCTCGGCTATGGAGTCGCATCACCCTCTGCCTCCTCCCCATCAGGCGGCGGCGGCGGATTCTACCGCATCGGTGGCAGATTCTGAGCGCCCTCGCCGTCCACCAGTGCTCCTCCTCAGTACAACTTCAACGGCCTGCGCGTCCTGCTCTCGGACAGTGACGACACCAGCCGGGAGGTGACGCGGAAGCTCCTGGAGAGGCTCGGCTGCCATGTGCTGCCGGTCCCGTCGGCCGCGCACTGCCTCAGCCTTCTACTGGGGAGCGCCACCGCTGGCGGCGATAATCCGTCGTTCCAGTTCCCCTACTTGCAACCGCAGGCGGTGCTTCTGGACCTCCACACACCAGCCGCAGCTAGCGTTGACGCCGCCAGTGCGATGGATGATGGGTTTGAGGTCGCCCTCAGGATCCGGGAGGTCACCGGCGACAGGTTCAGCTGGCTGCTCATACTTGTCGCGCTGCCATTGCCACCGAGAGCAAGCTGCATCGACGTCCGCGACGTGTGCAAGCGGACGGGAGTGAATGGCGTCATCCACAAACCCATCACGCTGCCAGCACTGGCAGCTCAGCTTCAGAGAGCTGTCCACAACGACAGCTGAACAGTGATCCCCACGTACCTACAGCCTGTTTGGACTACTCAACTCCCTTCTTTTCAAACTTGTTTCTAGCTCTACTCTTAACTTTGTTTGTTAAACAAGATAGATCAATAGATCTTTTTTTTCCCTAAAACCTTTCATATAGGATATGGAGGGGTAAAAAACACTCTCGGGCAGATTGGAAAAATGATTCCCTTTCTTTAAATATTGTTCTCAATTATAACAAAAATCATCTCTCAAACCCCTTTTGAAAAGGGGATACTACACCCACCCCATCTCCTTTCCCTTTCGACTTTTAGATGGAATTTGTGTTTATCCTAGCTATCAGGTGCCAATTAATTAGGGTGGTACTAGCGCCCAGACGGTGGACGAACGACTGTGGCTGCTTGTTTCCCACGTGTAGCGAGCGTACGGCGCGGACCTCAGCTTGCTCCAGGGCCACCACACGAGCATCGCGCCGTCGTCGACCCGCCCAAGGCCACCACCTTTGCGGGCGTCTGTGTGCTCGTCGGGTAGGATATCCTCGCCGAGCTCGAACTGTCGTGGCGAGATGGAGGGAAGGGAAGGGAGGGGAGAGAGAGGGCAGAAGAGGGCGAGGCGCGCCACGCGAGGAAGGAGCGAGGTAGGAGCCGAAGCCCTGCGGTAGGCCGCTATCTTCCAACCACTGGCGCCATTGCAACATGTGCAACACCCGATCTACTTTTGAAACATCCAGATGAAACATTTGCAACATACGTATGAAGACAGATAAAACACATGAAACATGCGTCTGAAACACTTGCAAAAATACCTAAAAACACTTGAAAAAGTCATTGCAAAACATATGGAATATTCAGATAAAACGCTTGCAACATATGTGTGAAACATATACATCATCCAAATAAACATACTTGCAACATACGACTACAACATTTAGAACAGACGCTTGCAACATACATGTATAGTCATTGCAACATGTGCAACATCTTGATCTAGTACGAAACACTTGCAGCATACCTTTGAAACATTTAAAACGATTAAAATATGCGATTGCAACATGCACTAGTTAGGGGGACGTCAACGACCCAGCGTACACCCAGGCGCAGGCCTTCCCTTCCTGTCGACAAGCGAGGTTGATGGGGGCGCACGCGTAGGCCTCCCTAGGCGCAGGCGCATGCCTCCCCTATCTCCCCTTTCGCGATGGGCGAGGTGGATGGGGACATGGAGCAGGATGGTGGCACGGACCGCGGAGCAGCTAGGGATGAGGCACAGGGGCAGCGCCGCCACGCTGGAGAAGGCCGCGACGGGTGGGTGTGCTGCCTGCGCACTACTACTGACACGACCGTGCCGCCGCGGTGCGCCGCCGCACGGCTCGGCTACACGTGGCTAGCCTTCCTTCGTCATCTTCCGCCCCAACTGTCACATCGGCCTGGTCCATGATCATGATGCCCACGTGCTAACCGATTAGGTCTATAGCTACCTCAGCTCACCGGAATAGTGGCGTCGCCGTCGTGGATGGCCGCGCGCCGCTGTAGCCTTCCCCAGCGAGGTCTGTCACCCTTCACCGCTGCTTAGCGTAGCCGCTCGGGTCGGAGATGGTGATCGACCCGTTAGGTGGGCCCACGCAGGACCCAGGTGGCCGGTGTAAGCGCTCAGTGCCACCGCTCGCCGCGCCGCCGTGCGCTGGGTCGCTGGGGGTGCTCGCAGGCAAATTAGGGAAAGGCTAGGGGTTTAGTGAGAAGTTCTGATAGAGGGGAAAATAGCGCCAGGACTTAGTTGCAATTCGAGAGAAATGCGAGATCTCTTTTGCAAAGTCATCGGCGCGCGTGGGATACCCCCGCCGTGGGCCACGTGGGCGAATTCGTTTATCTTTTTCATAAGGAATTAGAAATAGCTTTCTAATTTAATTTTTGAGCTGATCTTTGGTAAATCATATAAAATCATGTAGGTGTCCAAAAATTATGAAACAAATTTTGTTAGGTTCCTAAAATTGTGCTCCATCGGTTAGTGTATTTAGTTCATATATATACATGTTGATACCAAGGGCTATTAAAATCATTTGAGAGTGTTTAATATTATTAGGTTAAATATTGTTGGAATTTTTATGATAAATTGGTGTTAGTTTTGGTCCTAAAATTTTTATGATAGCTTTATTCTATTATTATATGCTCACTGTAATTTTTGTAGCTTTAGAATAGATTAACCTTTAGGGTAGTTAAATGCTCTTTGTTTTAATATACATTAAATTATTAGTAGAAATAAAAATATATTCTTTATTTGTAAAGCTAGGTGTTTGTCAGTTGAACCCAACACTTTGCTTGGTAAAGATGATAGTGAGCTTAGTACCTTAGTCATTAGAGCTAGCTTAATAGCTTAGTATACGTATTCTTATTTTAAGAGTTGGTGTTATATAAATACTAAGGGTTGCATCATCATCGCATGCATGTAGAGAACGAGTTGATGGAGATCGTGACCATCGACGATCACGAGTTCGAGGAGATCGTCGAGGAGTACGAGGAGGAGATCCTCGTGTAGGAGAAGGTCCCGAAACCGTCACTGACTGACTCAGTTGACACCACGCCTACCCAAGGCAAGTTTCGGTGTATAACCCTTATTTTTTATAATCACTGTTTATACATGTTGTGTGCATTTACGTTACAGGAATTTTATGAAAACCACATGTATAGATATAACTGTCCTATGAGTCCTACTAGTATAGGTTCGAGTAGCTGCTATGCTTAGGTTTTTGGTAGCGTGAGTAACATGCCGTTACTCACAATAGGTGATTATTACAATTACTCTCATGATAAAATAATGAAAGGAAAAATGGAGACATGGCAGAGATATGGTATGGATATTGGTGGGTGTAACAGGTTATGTCCCGCGGCCAATGAGGCTTAGCTTGGTTACACGGTTTTCCCTGTTCGTGTCGATTAAGGACCGTACGTTGCTGTGGATGGTAGTCAGGTCACAGATTTATTATCCTGAGCACACACTTGCTTATGGGAGCGGGAAGGCTCGTTACGCTCTTGTGGTGGGTTCTGGCTCTTTCCGGACCGACTGATTGGAGGCAGAGAAAGGTGGAGGTCTAAGCACCATACTGAGACCGAGTATCAAGTGTGGGGGCTTGAAGTCCAAGTTTGGACGGGGATCTGAACCCCATGACAGGAGTGGAATGGGTTTGTCTTGTTTGTGCCTGAGGTATAAACGGGGCGTGTGTTTCAGGGTAGCTAGCTAGGATACATTGGTTCGTGAATCACCGTTTTCGTGAGACGGTACGACTTGGCTATGGTCTAGCACCGTAGTAAGAACTAGAAGATGAAAGATGGAAAAATGGTTCTGATGGCTCAACCCTGCTTGTAAGTAGAACAGGTGCTTACCTAGAATGGTTAGCTAATGATGTAATCATGACCGCTAATAAAACTTGACTGTAAGGATGAACTATTAGTAATGCTTTTCGCAAACAAAAAGAAAACAGCAAACCCATATTGTCTATCATATTTCTTGGAGTAGGGAAATTATTATCACTAGTCGGGTAAGTCTTGCGAGTATATTGTGTACTCATGGTTCATTTTACCTCTGTTGCAGGTGCAGCTTGAGGAGTAGCTCTTGTGTGGAGGATTCTTCTGGTGGACACAGACGAATCCTTGTATCGTATCCACTATATGCTTATTTTCATTCCGCTGTTTAATTCTCACACTCTGAACTCTGGGATTGTAATAAATAATTTCTAAGAACTCTTGTTGTATGAAATGGACTAAGTATTGTAAGCTCGTACTGATTATTGGATTCTGGATGTAAAATGTGGATTGTTTCGAGTTCTCCCTTGGGGTGTGCTCGACAAAACTGTCCGATGTAGCCAACTTTTAGGGTGCTTAGTGTCTAGTGGAAGACGAGCACCTCCGGAAGCGTGCTATTTCGGGTGGTTCTGCCACACCTTCTCCCAAATGACGACGCCGACCCACCAAGAGCGCCCGTGGACCATGGCGCCTGAGAGCTGAATCGCCACTCTCGCACTCACTCTAAGGCTAGAGGATTTGGGGAAGGAAGGAGGAGTGAGACTCACTGGCCTCCCTACCCTCTGCTTAAATAAGCGCCCCTAAGACGGTAGTGGGGGATTTGGTGGTTGTCATTAAAGGCAGACTCAGGCATCGAGAGAGTTCCACAAGGTAAAAGCGTGGGGAACGGAATGGTTCGAGTCCCCAGGCACCTCCATCCTTATCTTTCACAGGATTCAATGATGCACAAACGATGCATTCAAATGGGCGGGAGACTTCCGCCCACATGATTTTCGAGACTCGGGAAGGCATTACTGCCAGTAAGTGCGAAGCTCACAGTCGTCCCGATACTCGGGGCCACCCTGGTTGTATTCAAACATCTCGGCACCCGAGAGATGCTCATCGGGACCTATGGTACCTGAAGGCTACAAGGACCTTCAGTACCTGACGGATTGTGAAGCTCTACGAGCTCGTTATTAAATCCTGCGGGGGCTACTATCAAAGATATGGGCCTAGGGTACCCTCACCGCCCATGTATCTGACCCATCGAGGATGACCGAGGACGAAGCCCGCGAGGACTAGGCATGACTACCAACTTGGGGATCACGACGTATCGAAGATATCTTCAGCCATCGTAGCCATGGTAAGATAGAATTGATCTGTTGTAACAAACTAGGAATCCAATCTGTAGCGCCGATCACCCTCGCTGTAACCCTACCCCTCTGCCTATATAAAGAGGGGTAACGACTCCGCGATCGTCACGTCCACCATGACACCATCCGCCGTTCCAATGTACCTCGTAGCTATGAGCAATAGCCCCTGTAACCGAGCATTGCCGGAGCTAAATAAGAGCACCCGCACCACTAGAGTAGTGATTAGCACGCTACCGTGCCCCGAACCAGTATAAACCCTTATGTCTCGTGTGCTACCATCTAGATCTATCTACGCGATCACGTTGCTAGGCATTGCTGGAGCTAAATAATCCGACATTGACCCTCTTATAAATCTAAATCTTGGATTATCTTGTACCTTCTCTTATGTATTGCATCACTTCTCTAACATCGCTGTGTTCACCACAATGTTGCTCATTTCTATTTTAGCCATTGGTATCTCAAGTAGCCATCGGCCCTATCATTGTGTCAACATCCATCGGTGCCTCAAGCCTTTCGAACACACTGTGGAACCATCACTAATGTCAGTAAAATACTGACCTCCGGGCTACCTCCCTATGTCATTCTATCGCACGATTAACATGTTCTGATTGGAGGAGGGGACGATGAGGTAGAGGAAGGGAGGGGCATCGCGACGAGGAAGAGGAGAGGCGTCGCAACGTGGAAGAAGACGGGGCATCGGGGTAGGGGAGGAGTCAGGGAGAGGAACGGTACCTAGCTGATACCATGTAAGAGTAACTGGCTTGAGTTTCCATTCATTGAACAAGAATATAGAGTACAAGATACAAGACTATCCATATCCGTATTCAAGGTTTCCATTCATTGAACAAGAATAATTTCAAACTAATCTACGGCTTCTTGATCCGTTTTCCTCTATATCAGATCACATTTTCAATCTTAGCATTTAAATAATATATTTTTTTTAGGGGGAGGATCCCCACCTGGAAAGCTTTATTACCAGAGAATAAACAGTTTGATCACACTGTCTAAAACATTAAAGACGTGACCTTAGATAGTACTCCCTCTGTACAGATGTAAAAGAACTTTTCTAGTCTAATTCACATGAATAGCCAGGATCTAATCTAACACTTTGCATCGGTTACCAATAGCCAGGATCTAACTGCATCACTGTGATTAAGGTGTTTGATTGAGGGATACTGAGTTTTTTCACTACCTCCATAAGTAGTCGTAAAACCGTAAAAGTCCCATAAGTCCTTGCATTTGTGGAAACATAAGTAACGATAATTCAAATAACCATCTACAGATAAATTCACAATTGACTCAGATTTGCTAATTGAAACATACGACTTATGATTAGAGGGGCCAGTGGAAACATAACTGAAAAGTCAATAACACAGACGCTAGAGCATTGCCCCATGTTCAGTTTATTCGTACAATAATAATCCAATTGCGGGCTCTGGCAAGTGGCAACATGGTGCTTTTCAAGGCTCATCTTGGTTCCAGTTCTGTGATTGACACTTCATTTGGTGATATCGCCCCTGAGGTAACGTTAGCGGTGGATTGGGAAGCTGTAGGATATGATTCTGAATAAACAGTTGAGTTTGGAATGAAAAATACTGGCTTCAGTGGAGCCTGGAGAGAGAAAGTGTTTCCACTGAGCATGACGTTTACTGTTGACATCATCGGTCTATCGACCGGGTTATCCTGAACACACAGTAGACCGATATGGACACATTTCATCATCTGTTGCGTAGGAGCTTTGCCTCTCAGAGATGGGTCCATAACCTCCACAATTGTTCCCATGGTCCAGTGCTCCCAAACCTGTATCGATTATCAAATGCAAATTTTGTTAGTGTTTTTGAAGCAAATTACTTGTGTAGAGAGTTTTGGGATAACAGAATGTCTTACAAGACTTAAGAGATCAACGGACTTCTCGATGTTAAAGGAACCACTGCTTCTTCTTCCGGTTAAGATTTCAAGAATCAAGATGCCAAAGCTGAAAACATCAGACTTTATAGAATAGTGGCCACGCATGGCGTACTCGGGTGCCATATACCCACTGCAACATGAAGGGAAATTCATTCTAGTCAAGAATAGAGGCATGGGGCTAGAAAGAGCAAAAGCTTAACAATTAATTGTGCTAAAAAGTGTTTTATCTTTGCATGCAAATTTTAGGTAAGTGGGTGGGAGGCATGGTGGCCCCCTAGTTTGGAAGTAGACGTACTATGTTCCAACGACGCGACTTGTGACCTCCCGCGATTGATCCCCTCCAAATAGCCTAGCCAGGCCAAAATCGGAAATCTTAGGAGTATAATCAGAGTCTAAAAGGACATTGCTCGCTTTAAGGTCCCGGTGAATAATCTTCAACTGAGAATCTTCATGGAGATACTGTAATCCTCTGGCAATTCCATCTATTATCTTGACTCTCTTTCCCCAATCTAGTTCCTTGTTTTTTTCAGGATCTGGCAGTTGAACAAGAAACCTCATGTCAGAATGTTAAATTCTGATACTATTTGTGCTGTCGGAAACAGATTATTACAAAAAAATAGTACCGAAAAGGATGGTGTCGATGCTTCTATTGGGCATGTATTCATACACAAGCAGTTTCTCATGTTCTTGCAAGCAAACACCAACAAGCCTAACAAGATTCTTGTGTTGAAGCTTGGCAACCAAAACAAGCTCATTTTTCAGCTCTTGTATTCCTTGCCCTGAACTCTGTGAGAGCCTCTTCACTGCAATTTCTTGACCATCAGGAAGGACGCCCTGCGTAAGTGTGAACCTTCAGTTGCTGAAAATGAAAATGCTTTATGAATTGGGCTAGTATGAGTGGCACCTTATAGACAGCGCCAAAACCTCCTTCACCAAGCCTATTGCTCTCAGCAAAGTTACCAGTCGCAGCTCTTAAAGTTGATATATCAAGAAGAAGTGACTCGATGCTCTCCATGTCTCCATCATTAGTTGAATCTGTCAGAATATATATAACGAAAACACATATATATAATGCCCTTTATAATCAATAAAAAAATACTCCATCCGTTACGAATTGAAAGTCATTTTAGCTTTTCCAGATACATGCTTTTGCTACATACCTAGATATACATTATATCTAGATACATGGCTCTAAAAGCTATGTATCTAGAAAAGCCAAAACGACTTACAATTTGAAAAGAGTGAGTAATATACTAATATATAATCAAATATGTAGTGTTCTTTAAAGGTCAAGTATATATTGGTTCCTCTTGCAAACCCGTTCACAGTTCCAAATTGTCAAGAAAACTTACAAGATGGTGTCTGCTCCCTTGCTTGTTTTCTCCTCCTCCAGAAGAAACAGAGACAAACAGTACTGATAGCTAGCACCGCAGCAATCATAGGCAGCACAATTGCCAAAGCAAGTCCTGTTTTGTTTCTGGTTCTTCCTGTAAACAAAGGCCACAAACTTCAGCAAAAAGCATGCTGCAAATCTTAGAAAAGCTATAATATGAACCACTTCGTACAAAACATATTTTACTGCAATCAAGGTTCTTTTTAAGGTGCATATATAGACTCAAGCACTTGTAGTTGTAGGGGACTTGGAGTCCAAGCACTAAGAACCTTAGTGGTACTAGGCCCAAACATTATGGAAATCGACTACTAGTTGACTAGCAGCATGGTCCTTTGCAATATGTTATTTGCAAAAAGTTCTAACAGAAAAATAAAATAAAGATAACTTTACGACAAGTTTTCTTCTTTTTCTGTCCCTTTCCTAATTAGCATATCATGCAGTGCACCATGAGATAATTTAAAACACTTAACATTGATTAGTGCCTTATCCCCATTGGAAGTGGAACTAAACACTGTTCCGGCCGATTCGTTGTGAGAGAAAAACACGGTTCCAGCTGAAAAAGACGGATTATAAGAGAAGCGAATAGGGCCAATTGCTTTGTAGACTGACAGACATCACTATGCTAAATGAAAACACAAGCACGCTTGAAATGGAACGGGCAAAGGCAAATTGTTCTCGTACATGATTTACACAAGAGTTATGTTGCTTGTGGCATACATGGTTGTTTTTATTTAATGGATAACAAGGCTGTGGTTTTTTATGCTTACTTGTATGTATTGATGCCTTGATGCATAGTATGTGTTTCTTCTTTGGAAATAACCAACTAAGAAGTCTTGTTGTATTAAAAAGAAAAACTAAGAAGTCTTCTGCATACTGTAATCGCTGTTTCCGGTCAACAAAGTAGTAAAGGGTAGCGACGGGACTGCAGAGATGTCAAGATGATCAAAGAAAACCGGTGTACACGGTTGTGTCCGCGACCAAAATCTGTTGACGATATTGTAAGTAGTTCCCAAATAATTGAAACAGAAGATCCACAGTTTCAGTCGTTTGTTTGGAATGGCCGATTCAACAGTCGTCCGAAACTAGTATAGTGGGCAACAAATAGAGAGAATTTGTGTTGTTTGACCGTGCGCATGTGTTTCTCTTTTTCGTGTAATCGTGTTCTTGAGACATCTAGCGCTAAAACCGAACAAAAACTAAAAACGAGAATCTGTTGCTGACATCTCACCTGGTGGGGTTGCCGTTGGCGTCACGTTAAATGGCGCAGGAGATGGCGCCGGTGGCGGCGCCAGCGCTGGCAGACGTAGCGAGGGGGCTCCGGAGAAGAAAGAATACACCTCGTACCTGAAATTGCAGCGCATCCCTACAATCCTTCCGCCCTGCCTTCCGCTGAGGTACTGCGGCATCGCCGAGATTATGCTCCCAAGGCAGCTCCGGCAGTCGGCGGACGACATGTCCGGCGTGCACTGCGTGAGCCCGTAGATGGTGGGGTCGCTTCTTGCGTCGAAACCCTCTTCCCCCGTGCCAAAACGTGACGCGTTCGCCGCCGCGTGGTCGCCGGTGGCGTTGAGGAGCACGGCGACGGCGGCGTCGAACGCCCGCACCGGCGAGCTCACGTTCTGCGTGTTCATGAGGATGATGGGATCGCCGTTGTTGTTGGTGCTGGCGATGAAGTTCTGGTTGGAGAAGCGGAGGTAGCAGGCGTCGTAGAACACGGCCGCGTCCCTGTCGTAGGCGCAGAGCTGCTGAGCGTCCTGGAACCCCGTGGCGACGCAGGAGCCGCAGGCCGTGGCGTTGTGTCCCGCGGCAGAGCGCGAGCGCGTAGACGACGTCCGGGACGGCGCCGACACTGCCCGTCGCGAAGAGGTTCCCCGAGCGGGACGCGTTCGCGGGGAGTGCCTTGGCGAGGCTTTCGAGGTTGGACTGGTAGGGGCTCTTGGCCGTGTAGTTGCCGGTGTTCCCGCAGACCTGCCACGGTTGCGCGGCGGCCCGCGGCGAGAAGAAGAGGAGGAGGAGGAGGGAAGCGACGGCGAGGAAAAGGAGGTGGCCCGTGACGAGGCGCGGGGAGGCGCCGCGAACCAACGTGGCCGTGGCCGTGGCCATGGCGCTGCGGCTGCCGGTGCGTGGCGAGAAGTGATCGAGGAGGGTAGTGCTGTGCCTGTGCGTCGCAGTCGTTACTCGTTAGGGAGGTTCGGAACATGGAATTATGGAAATGTGCTCTATCCTGCTGCACAACTGATAAGGAGAATGTTTTTTTTTTTTGAAAGACCATGAGGAGAATCGTTTGACTAGAATGGTAGGCAAGACCATTCGAGTTCGTTGGGGCCCGCAGGGGGGCAACGATATGGATGACGTGCGGGACCCACGGGCTCACCGCCTCACCGTGTCAATCCCAGGCACTTGCTGGGGCGGTGGTGCCGGGTGCGGTATCAGCATCACACTATCAGTAGGGGCATTCAGGATTTCAGGGTGCGAACGCTACACCTACACTAGTCTAGTAAGAGGAGAAAACATGGCACTTGAAGGAAAATTCGTGGATGTCATGTCCCGAAGGAACTTGATCAGGTGGACCAACGGTTCAACGGAGACCCGTAGTTCTCTGTCCAACAATGTTCTAAACCTTTTCGAAAGGTAGGAAAATTTGTAGAAGTAGTTTGAACACTGTTGACGTGCGACTGGTCCCGTCTTCAAGCTCGCGAGGTTCCCTCCCCGCGCTTTCTTCTCCCGCAGCGAAGTCCTCATCCTCGCCCTCGCCCCGCCTCCGCCCCAGTCTTCCACCACCAGCGGCGAGCGGCTCTCTCTACCTCGTTTCACCACCCGCAACCCGCCCCGCCCCTCGAACCTGCCCACCCTAATCACAGCCGCCACCGCCACAATGCCCCCGCCGCCAACCCCGCCCAACCGCCATCTCCTGCCGCCAATCCCGCCCAACTGCCATCTCCCGCCACCACAGCGGTGTCCCGGCTGCAACTTCTAAGCCTACCGGTGAGAAGATGAATTTACCTCAAAACCCTAACTCCGGCCTCCAATGCCGGCGAGCTCGTCGTCTCCGGCGTCGACGAGGTCCTTGTCGAAACCCTAGCCGTGGGAGGGTGAGCACATGTCGCGCGCTCCGCGCAAAGCACGATAGAGTTTGCGAATTAGTTTCGGATGAGACTTTGCCGTCTCCGAGCGTGTTTTGTTCTCTCTTGGCCTGAGCTATCTAGCCAGGCAACACTATTAGGTGTCCAATTTTCAATCCCTTGGAGTTAGGATCGTATGTCTGGCCGCCACGAACTAAGCATTGGTAAAGGCCATGTTGATCCCATGAAATGTAATAGATTAGTTGGTTAAAATTAAGGGCAAAACTTTAGATCAGTTTTAACTTATTTTTATGCTCTAATGGACTAATATAATGAACTTTTTATCACGTTGGCTAAACCTTAGACAACACTTTGGACCATCTGTTTTGAAGAATCAAGAGCTAAACCGGTCTAAAGTTTAGTGTTTAAACTTTAGTCTATGAGATTCAAATAGAGCCTAAGCCTGTCTGCTTCACTCGGTCAATCGCCCCCTATAAGTGTATTTGGTTCCTGTTTTAGACTTGGCTAGCTAGTCAAGGTATATTGTTTTGATCTTATGGTCTAAAATTAGTTGGCCGTTAAATTTTACGTCACTTTAGCATCGGTCGCAGATATGGCGCGACCTGTCGTCGCGCTACCTGTGAGCGCACAACACCACTCCATGCATTTGACCAG